TTTACTTCTGCTAATTTCATTTAATTATTGGTTTTTAAAGGAAATTGACTTCATTGGCTTAAATTTGATTAACATGTTCTCGTGATAGATGGGGCTCTTTAATGATTGGGTAGTTTAGATTAGTAACGATTGTTAGTGGCTAAAATTCTCAAAAGGGGCTGAAGTAGTGCAAAAATATTGTCCTCCTAGAGGGTACGTGTAAGTCCCAAAAACTTTCAAAGTAGAATTTTCACATTACCAAGCTCTTTTAAACGTAGTATTTTGTTCATTTAGATTTCTGCTAATTATCCCATAATCACTCAGCGGCCATGGATAGTGTAAACTAACCAGGGTCCATGGTAGCAAAGGTACCTTCCGTAAGTCCCCATGGACCCTAGTATGGTGACCTACCTTCAGCTAGCAGGTTGGTGATCTGGCAGCTCCATTTTTATATTGTGCAAACCCCGTGTTGTACCGTTTTAGACTCTATTACTAGTTTTGCTGTATATCTGTGATGTCTAGCTATGTACTGCCCTTTGTCGCGGATTTTTATAATTTATATATATTTCATTCCAGATTAAATGTTCACTATATACTGAAATATTGCCGATGCAATTTTTCAGCCAATAACTCACTCACTCACCACTCACCTTTCAATTATATGGCTGGAAAAATGCTGACGCATGCAAAGCCTAACTCAACTCGCAATCAACACGATCACTTTTCCAAATATACTCCTCACAAAATTAAGCAAATAAGTGTATTCTTTTTTGGTCAGTACATATGCCTTCTTTACCTAAGTGATCATTACAACTGAATCAAAACATAAATAAAGATAAAGCATCCACATGACTTTTCCAACGAAGAAATCAAAATTCATTGAACAATAACTGACTTGCAAATCATCAAAAACAGTGTCACTGAAAAGCCGTGCAAAAACAAAAAAGCTGCATCAGGGTATGAAAATGTCTGAAAACACTTTTACTGTCAGTTTCTTGAGAATTGATCCAAAGTTTAATAACGTGTAAGGGCTTACCATTGACCTTTGAATACACGCTTCAAGACGTCTAGGCATTGACCAGATGAGTCTGTTCCAGAGTCTGCTGCGGGAATGCCTTGGCCATTCTTCCGCAATGCCTGTTCATTGATCCAGAGTCTGAGGACGGAACGTGGAGGCCGCACAGTTTCCGAGGATGTCCCAAGCATGTTCAATAGATCGTGTCAGGGAGACCTGCAGGCCAGTCCATATGGGTGATGTTGTTGGTCTGGTAAGAACATCAGCACAACTCTTGCTCTATGTGGACGGGCATGTCATCCATGAAGAAGCGAAGTTAGACCCGCTTGCTGAGCCCACGGAATGATCATAGTGTGACACTCCTGTCTCGGTACCTCACACCTGCCGCCATGGTACCTCGTCTGATGACCACAAGATCAAATTGCTGTCCAACTTGGATTCCTGCCCAGATCATCAAACTCCCACCTCCATACTGATCATGTTCAGCAATCGCATAGTTACATGAGATCACTACATGATTTCCACACACGAGTCCCTACTATCACGAAGTCCAGACAGAATCTTGACCATCTTGTAAAGAGAACATTACGCCAGCACACCTCCAGTTACGTCGTTGGTTGTTTCTCCAATTCAGTTTGTTGACGATGGTGTGCAGGCAGTGGGATACGCCAGACCAGTCTTAACCGGAGACCTTCAGCATGGAGTCTGTTCCTCACCGTCTGTGTGTGGGAGATTCTGTTCCCAGCAACTCTCTCTGAGGTCATTCCCAGATCTGCTGTGGTGAACCTGTTCCGGCCGGGTTAGGTGGCCAAGCATCGGTCCTCTCTGGGAGTTGTCACCTCAAGACGACAGCGTGGCCCCTCGTGTCATCAACCGTCTGTTGGTGACGAGAGGATCGTTTTGGTATGACGACGCCTCGAAGAATACTGAAATGGTTGGCAACAGCACTCTGGGTCCAACTCTGCACCGTTCCGGAACACCCCGAGCAACTCTAATTGGTGTCAAGTGTATTTTTCCAGCCATTTCAAATGTTACCGTCAATTTGTCATACGGCAGCGTTTCCAAATGGAATCAGAACGCACAAGCAAAAGAATGTATAGCATTACGTTTTCCATGCATTTTGTATGTGAGTTTTGAGGGTGGTTGCGTTCAGCTAACAATGTTAATATCAGAAAACAATATGGGAAACGCTTTTAAGTTCATCAATCGTGAAGGGTTCTCCCGTACGGCTTATATGCCAAGTAATAACTTCATATACCCATGAAGAAAATATGTGCAAGTGCTGCTTAACTCTTTGTGAGGGAGTATACTAAGACTTGAATTACGTGCACACAACACAGATCTACATCCCTCCTCTGTTGTGGTGTTTTTGTACAGTTTACTTGCAGAGGATAACTACTACTACTACTACTACTACTACTACTACTACTACTACTACTACGGAAACAATAATAATAATCCCTTTAACCGCAAAGGACCACCCTAAACCCATCTACTTCATTTCCATCAAATCATCTGTAAAACATACAACATAAAATGAGAGAGAGACAGAGACAGAGAGAGAGGTTAATGCTTACTTCTACCATCAATGGACACAGGACCCCGCCCTCGTGAGCATACCTGTGATAAGCTCTGGTCGTATGATCTTCTACAACTTAATTTGTAATGTTACTGAGGTCTATCATTCTTAGGTTAGAAATGATTTCCCATTGACGATGAATGTTTCATCCCAGTCGTGGTCCTGCGATTCCTCGCACGATCCGGGTGCACGACATAATGTCGATGACATCACTTAATTACCCCCTAATGGAACAAAGTCCAGCTCCTCGGCCATCTGAATAGCATCTGGGTATTCCTTAGTTGAATTTGAAATGGTCAGCTTTGGAGATTGGGAGAGGAATCTGAATGGAAATAGTTCCGAAATTGACAGAGACTATGAAGACTTTGATAATTGATAAATAATATATATCAATACTTCCAGTTTCCATTCAATAATACTGTTTCAATCGATGAATAGCCTCGGACTCGGTTGATCGCCGCCGCCTAGGTTGTTGTAAACAGATAAGAAAGTCTCTTGAGCGTCTTCTATACCATTGGTATTCATATGTCTTCGTAAATATGCATAATTATCTCGATTGTTGGCGGGAATATCACTCTTCAGATTTAACGATTTGAACACTTTCCCTCTGAGCTTCGTTGACATGCCTTTAATGAAATCATCATATTCATTTAATTCGGATCCTCGAGGGTGTTCACATTTTTGGCCGAGGACCAAATGCTTCAACAGGAGGAAGTCGGTTTCACCCAACTTTGTTCTCGCTTATCAAGATATTCATAACAGAAGAATCCCTTGATCAGGAAGTCTTTGAAAGTTTTCACAGGAAATCGATCATAACTCGTCCTAACAGGTAGATACTGAGAGACATCCATAGTATTCTTAAATTTATCGGTGATGTAAACGTACTGATTGTTACGCAGATAACGAATTCCCATTTTTTCCTTCAACCAGGTTTAACGTCCTAGCTAATTTCCTTTTCCATGTTTTCTTAGGATCATCATATTTCGAACCGTTAAACCCAAAACAGGGAGTTGAGAAGAGTATTGATGCAGTTTTCTTGTTAAAAGTCCATCCTTTGGTATAACCGTTCGTCATTTGTCCACGATGATGCGTCGTGTGCACGTCATCCTCCGCAATATCCTCCCACCAATGTAGTCGCATTTGTATCTCAGACGTTTGATGTAGTTGTCAGATCATCTCATTGTAATGCTAGGTTTTGACAGTCGACAAGATAGCCTGAAATGTTCGTTTCCCTCATCTTCTTCATTGATGTTTTCTACTTTGATCTTTCCTTCTTCATTGTAATCACCTTGTTTCAGGTTACTTCCATTTCTCTACCATTCTAGGAAATACATCCAAGTTAACGAGAGACAATGCTCAGTGTGAATGATTGAATTGTAATGTCATATGTGATGAGGATTGAAGCAATTCACTATTGTGTAAAATATACCATCATTGTAACACTCAGAAATGAGTAATGGTCTTTTATTATTCCAATGATTATAAGCATGTATGAAGGCTAAATTTCCTATGGATATATACATGAATATTGAATCTGGAGCAGGGCGAGTGTGAGTTAGTTTCACGTCGCGCTCAGCAATGTTTCTTGCCAGCTACAACACTACACTACCCCAGTGATCTGTAAATAATTGAATCTGGTCCTGGGGTGGCTTATAGATCCCTCTGCAAATCGAACCCAAACTTCACTAGATCTGGTTTAGCTCACCTCTATACAACAAGTACGGTTGGTTCCTAACAACAATAATATACAAACTACAAACCAAAAAGAAACATGAATGAGTTAGTTTTTACGCTGACCTCCTAACCCAGTGACATGTAAAACAAATCCATCTGGACTAGACAATCTAGTCATCAACACTACGAACTTGGAATGACATTAGATTATATAATCAGTTGTACCACAAAAAGTAAAAAATATGCAAGACGCATCAGCACTCCTCGTGTTTCTAGCGGGACGCAGGCGAGGTAGAGGATTAGCATCTGGTTGAATCCTGTCAACTTGTTGTCGTCCCTTCTTCCTCTCGGCGGTAGGGTCCCAAGTCGCGTTGTTGAGGTCGCTGTACGCCACGAGGTTGATTACCCGGGGAGGTTGTTGCTGGGGTACCCAGTCATTGTTGAGGTCGAGGACTGCTAGGAGGATCCTAAACATGATTTGTCTCAGGTTAATGAGGCACAGTCCTAACAGGCACAGGATCGCATCTCCTCAATAGATCTATTTAGGAAAAGAACAAAACAGAGAATCCATTACTGGGTGAACATTTCTATTTCCTCCGGGCCATTAATCATGATCGGAGGCATGTGAGAGCACCCCCGGCCCAATACTGCTGCTCAGTCTTTGGGGTGCCGGTCCTCAGGCCACTCTGACATGATTCATACCTGATACATTTCTGTACTCACCGCCTCGAGTCCCATGAGAATAGTTCATACATAATCCCACCTCCGAGTAGCATGTATTTTACTGGATGTTAGTGGGGAGCCATCTGAAAATGACTAAAACCATCGTGGTAGTTATCCAGCCGATGTTGGTGTTGGGATCGGGTTCAGGTGTGACTGAGAGTAGTAATAATTGTAGTGAACTCTGTTGTTACAACTTTGGGGTGCAGTACACTTCTGTTGATACTACATGCCAACCATATTGTATTAGACAAACCTGTAAACACTTAGTACAGTTGTGGATGCAGCGCATGCTTAGTGATTCTGGATAAGCGCATCTAATATGGGTTGCAGCAGTATTCAATTCCTCATTGCAGATAGTCAGGGTTCACGAGAAAGACCAAAGCGCACTGGATGTATGGATACTGATAAGATTAAGGTTGAATTGTATCAATGCTGGTATACGGTCTTCATTACGTCCTAACTACTCATAATATAATAAATGATGAATAATTACCTATATCAACAATAAATAGAATAATTATCTTTCCACCAACTTTGTTGGGTAGATAATCATCACGCGTCGGAGCATGACCTTCGGTATCTGCTGTTCACTGTGATGAACAGTGCATTCATCACTATTCTACCCACTCAAGATAAATCTTTGATCTTTTGTGAGTAGCTGCGTCTTCTTCCTTAACATCTAACATGTGGATTTAGAATTTTGTTAATTTTCATAGTAGCGTCTGTTCAGGATGATGAATGCGTTAATTGGATGATGTGTTTATAATTCCGAATTTATATAGTATACAATGAATATGAGATATTTACAAAAGACAAGCATTGGTCAATCAACAATATATTAGTGCTCCCCTGAAAGAGAATGGACGCCTTGGTAGTTCTATGCATTTCGAGTCCATTGTTAGTGAATGTGTTATTAGCATTTTTCCGTGACCCCTAAACTTCGCGTGTTTAAGTACATTAGTGTTACTGTGGTATTAGGTTTGTGAAGATATTCTGTTGTCATTTCTGGGTCATTTGTTCTAGGTGAGGTGACTAGTCTTCAGGTGGTATAGTGATTCTTATCAACACGTGCAGATATATGTTTACCTTTTGGGTGTATGTTTATCTGGTTCGTGTATACCCTTAGAGATTACGACCAGGGCTAGCAGTTTGGTGCTGCGGAGCTGGCTATTGGTTTCTTAACATAGGGCTTTCTCCGAAACAGACCACACTATACTACTGTGACGAATCAATCACACAATTCCGGTTTAATTTTCCGTTGCTTGTTTACTGAATGGCAACAATTTAACTTTCGTCATATGTACAGTGCTTATAACTCCTTTAACATGGCGGCCTATGGATTGTGCATCGTGGAACCATACCAAGTTACTAAATGTGATGTCATTAGTTAAATAGTGGTTGGAAAAATTGAACTGAAATTATGCGCGCAGAGCAGAGATGATTTTAATTTTGCCTGTCAAATTTTACGAAGATCCATCCTAAACTCACTTCATAAAAATTCTATTTATGCTACAATACAGAAATAACATGTAAGTTCATGGAAATTACGTCACGCGTCTGAATCAATTCTAATGCAGATATTTATTGACGCAGAACCAAAGATATGCACATGACTACACAGTGTTATTTGACTGAACAGATTTTACATAATCCTTGTAGAAAATCTTCCGTGACAGTTGTAAATGTTATCAGTTCAAAGAATGAAACTTTCAAGCCAGCATAATTTGATCAAATATAACAAGCTTATCAGTGAAAACGGTAAGTGCTATTTACACAGACGTTCCTTCATCCCCCGCCCGGTGACACAGCTAAGCAAACGTCTGGGTGTAAAACATCGTGTAGCAAGCACTTGGTTCCTAGAACATTAATACTGCTTTACAGCAGTTGTACATAAATATACATTTACACTAGTTCATCAATTTCTTAAACCAGTTTAAAAGCGAGAAACTGAGAACTTAACCACCAATCACGTCCTAAAACGAGCGACACATCTCACTGCTAGTTATGAAATGCCTTTGACTGGAGTGATACCACGACCGCAAAGTTGCCAGCTATGACGTCACTATGACGTGTCAAGTTAGGAGCATGTCAACGCTTATGCCCGACTGCTTACTGACCAACAACTCTATGGAAATATGTTCACCTCCTAATTCATGTTTGCCTTCCTGTTTTATCAGATGAAAAGCTAACGTGATTACAACATATACTCAGTAAAAGCACGACTATATATATGTTATGAATATATATATATATACTATATATATATTTGGTTACATCGAAGATGTAATTGTTCCCGC